TCACCGAGCTTGATCTTCAGCTACGTCAATGGGCACGGGAGGTTGGCGGCCAAGGTTCCAATCGACTACAGTTACAGAGGACCAAAATTAAGGGGTATGCAGAAATACAGTGGAACACACGCAGTTTTTCTACATACCCCTACCGCAAATACCAAAGCCGAGAGGTGTACCAAACAAATGCAAGATGTTTTTGCGCACCCCATATTCAGTTCTGACAGCTGAACGACGTCGAGCACTGAGCTGCATTATGGAATCAGGACACGCCAAAGCCAGTTGACTCCCAGTAGACACTCGACACAATGTCCTGCCCCACTGGCTTCAACACAAAGGCCGGATGTGTTGCATTTGCTCACCTTTCTTCCTCCTGACCTGATCGACGTCTTTCCAGACCTCCTCACAAAACGAAGCAGCCACAGCTGGCACTTCGTACCGAAGGGTTGAGTGCGTTGCAGCACACATGTATAAGTTTAGGGATCTGCGAATTAGGTATGTCAGAACCTTCTTAGAGTGGAAGTCATGTTAACTTATTCGCTCCAAGTAGAGAGCAATTTTGAGGTCAGCAATAATGCTGACTTGGTCGACGGGTTGCACAAAGTTGCAACAGATATGACACGTCACGACAAGCATGAACTCAGCAAGCTCTGGGATGCGGCTGAGAAGTGCTAAGCGGCTCACCCTTTCCAAACATGCGTGCTCCGCCATCCACGCGCCCAGCTATCCTCGGAAGTCGTTGGTGCCTCAGCATGAGCATGAGCGAGATGGGTGCATGGGTTCAGAAGCCCCTGTGGCCCTGAGTGGCCAACAGGCAATCCACCATGACGCCTGCCGGCTGGAGGAAAGTCTCGAAGCTCGGGTACACAGGCAATGGCGCAACAGAGCTCTTTTCAGATTTGGGGCCCTCCTGTTAAGCGTGTGCTACTGCTACTGGCCATTGTGGCCTGTGAGGTCAGACAACCTGCGCTGTGGGCCTCTGATGCAGTGCGGCATAACCCAACCTGTCCTTGGCATCAAGGTAAACTGTGAAGGCTTGCAGAGCTGTCGACGTTTCACAGATTTGGCCGGCCTTTGTAGAGCGCAACGAAGTCCAGTTTTAGCAGCGAGCATACGCGTCTGCGTACCCCCGAACCTTTGACGAAGAGCTAAGACTCAGAGCCCGGCAACGCGGTAGTCTTCACGCGATGTTGTTGAAAGCAAGTGCCGCCTTAGAGTTTTTACTCCAGACGTATGCACTTTGAGTATTGGCAGTGGAGATGCTGCAAGCTGAAGGGCAAGTCAGTCTTCCGAATCTTCCTACAGCATCGTGCAGCAAGCGTTGCCTCTAAGTACACAGAAAGTGTCTCAAGAAAAACTATCGCCAACAGCGCCGCAAAGAATGTAAAAAGCGTGTAAACGCTCATCAACTCATCACACTCATCACCACAACATGACTGCTTGTCTGAGCTGTGCGCGGGAAGGGCAATGAACCCAGCAGTGGCGGGAGGCCTGCCCAACTCTTGACAACTTCAGGAAGCCAAGCACTTGTGTCCATATTGCGTAGAGGTGTAGAGTATCCACATGCTAGGAATGCGAAGTGGGCCGCATCATGCCCAAAACGGAAATTTCAAAAACCTTTGAGGCAGAAGTACTTTGGAGAAAGGACCCCAATGAACAAAAACTGAAGCAAGGGACCTGCTGTCGAACAACCCCAAATTCAAATCCTCTCTAATCCAGAGCTTCTCACACTTGCCTTCTGGATCACGTGGCGGCGCAAGGAGCTGGGCCAGAGAGGGGGCTTGGTGGATATCGAGAAGGTCTTTTTTGGATATTTTGGGGATCTAACACCTTGGTTCCTGGACCTGCATGCAACAAAAACTCCCTAATGTCAAATGTCTCTGAACATCTCTGAACGACTTCGGGCCCCAGCTGTAGCCATGAGCTCCTCCTGTGAGAAGTCGCGCGAGTTTGTCGCGAAGGCATCATGTATGGTACTTCCTGGCGCATGCTGATTGTCTGGACTCCACGCTTCAGCTCGAAACACGTGCTGCGTTTGCTCTGCGCTCACAAGGAACCCGCAACATTGTGACCCTGCAAGCAATGCACAGTTGGGCTCTTCTATCTGCACGCTGCGAGCAATCATGTGCAGGCGCGCACGCTGCACTTCAGAAAGCCCGATTTCAAAGCAAAGAAACAACCTTGTAGCTGACTTTGTCATGTGACAGGAACGTGCTGGCACATGGAACGGGCCTTTCGCTTTGGCCGCCCCAAAGCCAGGAGCTAAGTAGCTGCGCCAGTCCTGTTCCATGATTGCTGCATTGTACGTTGACTTCTGGGCCTGAATGTCATACTTGGCATACCTTGTTACCAGTTCCACAAACAAACGACCTTGCGGTCGTTCTGATACCTACATTTGCCAGCCGCAACGGCAAGGCGTGGCTTCGCATGAAAAAATGCTCGGGAGTTCTCTAATGCAATCTTGGATCGCCCAAAACTCAGTTCAAGCTTTTTCCCCCACCTTCGGTGTGGGGTTGTTCGATTTTAAGCTCAACTCTTCTCCTCGCCCGGAACTCTTCTCCTCGCCCGGTCTACTCCGAGAGACTCCCTTCCCTGAAATGCCCAACCCAGAGTGCCCAGCTGCCCCAGAGTCTCCCTGGACCAGAAACTCCGAGACTGCTGGAGTGCCCAACCCCAGATTCCTGGAGTGCCCAATGCCCAACCCCAGACACTCCCTGGAGCGCCCAACAGAGTTTCGGAGTGTCTCTCTGGAATGCCCAATTCAATAGTGCCCAACCCAGAGTGTCCCTGAAAGGCCCAATCTAGAGTCCCTGCAGTGCCTGGCCCTGGAGTGCCCAGCCCGCGCTGGAAACCTAGAAACGCTACACCCCAGAAAAATTCCCGGAGTGCCCAATCTCAGAGACTTTCTTAAATGCCACACCCCAGAAACTCCCTGCCCAACCCCAAAGACTCCCTGGAGTGCCCAACGGCCAACCCCAGAGACTCCCTGGAGTGCCCAATTCCAGAGACTCCTGGAGTGCCCAGCCCCAGAGAGTCCCTGGAGTGCCCAACCCCAATTGCAAGCAAAAACTAAGAAAGTCGTATTTGAATCAACGTGTCTTTGTTTGAACATCTTGCTTGCGCTTTCCTTTTAACGAGGAGCAAGGTGGGGATGTTCGAAGTAAAATAATTTGAAAACCGGTTCTAAAGTACGTTCCGGCAAAAACAGCCTCAAAAGCGAACTCAAAACATATGGGTAATTGGAAACACTCAGGGGGTTATTGCCTTTGTCAAACGAAGTATGAGAAGTTTGAGGCTTTCTGCTTTTGCGGATGCGGCTCTGGGCAGGCTCTTTGTAGTAGAACGGTGCAAGTCGCTTTGAAATAGTAAGGCACTAGACTGTGGTGAAGTAGTCCACCCATGTCCATCCTGATGCTTAGATGTGTTCAATGCCTGATGGTTTCATCGTGTCGGGGTAACTACATCTGTATAGTTAACTACGCAAAGAACCAGCATGAAATCAGTGGTAGGGAAGTGCGTCAGAGAAAAGTACCAGCTAACACAAGCAGCGTGCCTCCGTGCCATGCAGTCGCGGCATGCTTGGTGCCTGGAAGCAGAAGAAGCCTAAACCCCTGAAACTCGACACAAAACACCCGAAAATTCTGAAATATCCCCCAAACCCAGCACCACCAGCACCACTGCAAGCATGCAGAGTAAGCCCAGCGCAGATTGCGCTCGTCCAAGCTCTCCTTGGCAAATTGCGAACATGCAATCAGCATGTTGTAGTTCATGCGGTGTGAGATGTCTCTTGGAAGGCATTCTGGCCATCAAAGAGTGTCGAGAGAGTTCCTGTTTTTGCCAAGGGTCTCGGCAGTCGCGCCGGCAAGGCTACTGTGGCAGCTGCGGCATCCCAGGCCAACCTTGGCTTGTGCAGGGCCGCTAGAATTGCAGTTCGGCCTGTTGTGGCTGAAATTTCCCGCAGTATGATGACCAACGTTGAGTCACCCGCAGGCCTGGAAACATAGCAAACACAAACTAGCCACCGCAGCAGATGGTCAACCGAGCGGAGGACATGTGTGACAGTCGTGCAGGTTCGGCGCGCGCCCAATCGGACGGGACGTTCGCTTGGATAGATCGTCTGCAATGCTACCTATGGTTGCCACAGTGTGAATGCTCAGAATGCGCACCTTGAGCTCAACAATTAAAACCCAAGCTCGTTCCAACTTCTCTTGATGTCCCCTGATGTTGAATTCTTTTCAGCCGAGAGTAGCAGCGGCACAAGCACGCAAGCAAATGAGGCATATGACAACATGGATCATGCATCGCGTGATTTCCACACACCATAGACATTGGGGCCGCAGCGCACTAGGCAGTACCATGACATTTTCAGGATCGCAACCCTGTACGTTACTTTACGTGGAAGCAAACCGACAATTCGAGCCAACTGGGCCGAGTCAACCTTAATCCGTGTGGCGCACCCATGTCCCATCTGGCGCGCTGAAGCCGTGATGAAAGCTGCACAAGGTGTTGGAAAAGTACCTCCAGTACAAAGGCGTTGAATGACAAAGTGCTCGCTGCAAGAACCTTTGCGGCCACCTCATGCACGTGGAAGACGCACATGTCAGCACAAACGGTCAACACAGCGCTGAAACTCGGAAAGCCCGGACTTTTTAGAGCGCCGAAGAAGATAGCCTTCAACCCAGCGCTTGCGCCTCATTCAACAGTCATCTGCAACACTCAAAAAATGTCGGCGCAAAACGGCAACACAAAAAACATGATTGTGAGTAGATTGGCAGGCCCTCACATGCCCTGCCGGGCAATGCAAGAACTACTTGCTTGGGCTCGGACATCTCCTCGACAAGTTCCGCTGGGAACTGAGAAATCTTGAGAAAGCCTTCCATTCAGCAGGACTCTGGCTTCCATCACTTAAGGAGAAGGCCTACACCTACCCGTAACGTGTACAGACGAAGCTCTACCGAATTAACAACTGGTCTCTGCACACAAGGAGCTGTGCTCCATCTTCCTATACATTAAGACATCGTGCATTCCAAGCAGCTGATGTTGGCTTCATTCACAAGGAACTGATCACCTGTCCAGGTTGTGGGGAAATTGAACACATGTTTGGCACTGTTCCATGTCTTCTTGGACTCCTGGGGAAGTAAGTCGAGCAGCCATGCAGCAACCTTGTTGGAACGATCCATTGTAGGCATGCTCAGCGCAGGGCTGGTGTGATGTTTGCGGGGTGCTGATAGTGATGCTTCTGCTATGCTGTGGTTGTTGCCTGCAGTTTTGACAACGAACACATTAGTAACACTCTCCGACTCTCTGCGTCGCGTATCCAAACAAACCGCCTGTGCCTCCTGGAACAAAAACGTCGATGCGGATGTGGTCACTGCCTCGTGCAATTTTCTCCACCGTCAGCACCAACTGCTTCCAAGCCTGGCACAGAGGTCTGATGTGGGTGAAAAGACACTCTCTGTTCATGGTGGGTGCCGTGCTGACCTTGCCCGTGAGCGGCGGCCGTGCAACACAGTCCAGGCAGCTGCCATCCCGAAAGATGTATCCTGGGCCGGCGATCGGTCGGTACAGCCCCAAAGTTGTAATTGGCCAAGATGCCGTTGGAGGCAAAGTTTGGAATTCCACAAGCCTTCCATCCAGCCAAGATGCCAACTTCAATGCTGGGGATGCATGGGCAGCTAGAGATACATTTTGAAACTTCGTCTGTCCGGGCCTGGTGCCCCAGAGCAGGTTGCGCGCGGTCTCCCTGCTGGTTTGCATCATTAAATCGTGCAGCGCCCTCCTCCCCAGACGACATGTTCCTTAGCCAATGCTATTCGTTCAGCTCTTGCTGCAGTTGGATGCTGCTCCTTGAACAACCTGGTTAGCCAAACTTAGCCAGGGTGCTGCACGAAAGTCCACTCACAAAAGAACAGCTTTCCCCAAAATGTCTGGCACTTCCTCGGGCACCAGAAGAACTGGGCCAGCGGAAGGCTGCCGCTTCGACAGCAGATGGCAGGTTAAGGCAAAGAGGCAGCTCATCTGGAGTACCCTGTTTGCCCGAAGTCTCGACCAACTCCTGCACGGAGCTGCAGCAGCAGCATAGGGCAGCCATGAAGAATCAAGCAAGAATCATGCTTTGAGCATGCCTCGACAAGCACGCCAGGCCGAGTGGATTCCTGTGAGACACGAGGAGGACCAAGCAAAGAAATCCATCAGCCCATGCACTGACATGACGGGGCCGCAGGCTGCAACCATGCCCATCTGGATATGTTCGTAGGCAAGCGTCTGTCGCCCAGTCGTCCAAGTGCCTCTCAGGTTGTGGGCTGGAGGGTCGTGTATGCCATCTTGGTGCGAGCCTTTAGAGACTTTAGCCATGCACAAACATATCTACAAGGTGCACTCGAGGGAGCCCTGCCTGTCATTCCATGCCTCCTTGAGGCCAGACGCGATCTCCTCATGGCTCACACTGAGGCCATTCACAAGATTCCTGCCATCCTTTATCACGTACCTCGGTGCGCAAGGAGCCCTTTTTCAGGCCTTCACTGAAACGATGCTCGGTCTATCCAAGTAGCACGTAGCTTGTCGCAGCCAGGTGAGTGGGCTTGGCCACAAAGCTTTGCGAGGGTAGACTTTGTAGAACAGCAAGCCTGCTTGCTGCAACATGCCGCAACCAACTGTCAAGCAAAACGACAACATGCTGTCTGGCACCAGGGTTCCTTCCAAGTAAGTAAGCAAGCGGCACTTCTGGTGACTCGTTTGACATGTAATGGATCTTCGCAATTGGAATCCTTGGCTGATGTTTATCGATATTTGGCTTGCAGCGGGCTTTGCCGGCTGTGCGAAATGCACTTCGGAAAACATCTAGGGCAGCTGAGACTCGACTCCTGCATCATCCATGATTTGAAGAGCACCTTTACACAAGTCATATTACAGACTTGCTGCCAAAAGCGAGGATGTGTGAAGCCTTCTTGGGCTCTCAGTAAGACTTCGTCAGCAAGTGGTAAAAACGTGATCATGAGCATCCCTCCGTTAAAGGCCTTGTCTGAGAACCGCCGCAAACCAGCCGACTCACTGTCCTCGCGCTGGCGCATGAGGTCATAGAGGCCAAGATCCAAATGAATCCCGTCCTTTGTCACAGAGCACGTAAGCAATGCACGGGGAATGGGTCAGGGCTACACAGGGAGGCATCATTTCACTGAAACTTGGTGTTGGGGACACCCGAGACTAGGGTCGAGACCCTCTTCCCTTAACTTTGTCTATCCCTGGGCTGCAGAGGCATGATCTCAAGGCTTAATCTTTCAGCCAACCGAAACGACCCCTGTTCCCATCACCCCCCCCCCTCCGTCCCACTAGCTCGTGAGATGGCTACCTGAACCTATCTGACTCTCTGCTTCAGGCCGCCACCTTCTGTCATCTCCCTGTTGCTCTGATTGAACTGGTGCTGCCTGATTCTTTTGCATTTGTTCCCCGCCCTCGGTGTTAGCTTCTCTCCTCGCCTGAGTCTCCTGTACTGGTCGCCCCTGTTACCTTGCCTGCCTACCAGTGCCCACCTCAGGAGAATCCTGCAGAGAATCCCGGAGTATCCCTGCAGTAGCCCGCCCCACCGAAACCCGCAGAGCATCCCTGGAGTGTCCACTGTCAGCCCACGGCACCCCAGAGAACCCTGCCCTCAAAATTCGTACAATATCCCTGTTTTTAGAGTCCTAGAGTGCTGGCTCGCACAGAATCCTGAAGTCGGCCTGAAGAGTATCCCGCAACCGACCACCTCCTCTGAATCCACAGAGCTCACGACCCTGAGTAACCCCAATGGATGCAGCCCCAACGATGAAATTCGCATCTGCTCTACTGTGGCATCGTCCAAGCTACAGCACCACCACCTACTTAGGGCAAGCTTCTTTATGGCAGGTCTGACTGCGTATGGGCCATGTTGAAAGCCATGAGTCTGCCAGGTTGAACGCGGGAGATGCAGCATGTGTCAGGTATTCTGGATCGTCTGCCCACATGTCCTGTACAAGCTGTGCGCGGCCGTTGAACAGTCAAGCCATTTCAGAGATGCGTTGCTGCTGCTTTGGTTTTCCCCGACCCTAGCGCTGTAGCCGCATCATCGAGCGCTCCTCATCGAGCTGTTCGACTTGTGACAGGTGTTTGGTGAGCCTGCCCACAGTTCGCACATCATGCCCCCCCCCCCCCCCCCCCCCAAACGGAAGCAGATGTGCTTTGGTTTCTATATGATTTCGAAGTACGGAACAAACGAAAACTTCCACGGCAGTCTTCCACAGAGTCCACAGAAGGAAGAGCAGCTTCCGCAGCGAAATTTTGTAAAGCTGTAGCGAAACTTTGTCAAGTTGTTTCCGTGAACCCCTTCCGAGAGTCCTACCCTTGCTGGCTTGAAAGATGCTTCCAGTCAGGTGCACATTTTCGGGCATGGGATCTGCAAGCGATGATGCAGATAATAGCACGATGAAAGCGGGCTTTTAGGGCTTCGGGGGTTGAAAGCATCTAGTTACGAGAGCAGGTTTGAGGAATTTCGGTTTCGGGCTGGACCACATCTGCAAAACACAGCAAAGAAATGCAAACAATGTCTTGCGTGCAATCGACAAGCCTTGCACGCTCCTCGGCACAGCTGGCGCCCGTTGCCGCCACAGAACTGGGGGAGGGGGAGAGGGGCGCATGATGAGGTTCTATGAAAAGCTGGGCGATGCTGCAGAAACGAGAACAGGCTCCAGAACTTGCGGGGCTTGTGGCCTACACTGAGGCAGCTTACAAAACTGCTGGGGTTTTAGCCTGGCCCTGCGCAGCCACCCCATGTCTGCGGCCATGGGAACCCCGTCCTGGCGCTGATGGCATCGCGAGCTTGAGCTTGGGCAAAGAGAGGTGACAGTATGGCTGCCGGTCTTCTGAGGTGTCTAGGCCGTGGTTAAGGGCTTCTTTGGGGCAGGCCCCAAGAACCAAACTCCATGATCATTTTATTCAGAAAGTCCTAAGAACGCCACCGAATGCTAAAGTCGTCTAAGGCCCTGTGTTGTGATGGCGCCAGTAGACTTTTTAACTTTAACGCGCATGTACTGGACCCACAATCTTTCTCTTGAAAAGCCTGCAAACGTCTGCAAACCTTCCTCCCGACAACACATCTCAGACCTGTAGACTTCTGGGGTCAACGGGACCGACTTCTTCCCACCCGTCATGCCTTGTAGCGCACCGGAAAGAGGCGAGGCATCCTCAGGAGCTCCCTAAGGGTTTTCTATGGGTCTTGAGTTCCAGGGGGCAAATCGTAGAGGTTGGAGTCTAAAGCTTGGAGTGTGGTGTTTCCAGGGCGCCAACATGCATCCAAGGTGCGCAAGCTTGCACGGAACCCAGGGCGCGAGCGGCAAGATCGATCGTGTCGTTTCTTCCTCACAGATTAGTCTCCGCATCAATCAGACCGGAATCAGCCCTCCGAATGCCAGACACCGATTGTAATCCAAGCAAACGGGTTGGCCGGCTAGTTTCTTGGCACAAAGCACGCGTTCGATGCAAGAAGGAGTAGCAGCTATTGTTCAGAGCTGTGTCACTGCGTTGCCACCAGGATTCTTGCACATAGAAGTACAGTGACACGTACACCTCAGCGGCTGTTGGGTTCAGCAGCTTAGGAGTCTTAGAATCGGAACGTAACGGAAAGTATCGGAATGTCTCGGAATGTATAGCGTACACTAGCCAAGTCTCGCAGTCTGCGCAGAAGGCGCGATAAGCCACACCGGATCGTGGGCTGAAGCGATACGGCTCTTCACCAATCTGCCACAAGCCTGCACTTGTTCATGGCATCGACTTGACGTTGTGGCTCGCATCTCTTGTCGCTATGCCGGCTACACCTCGAGACACGTGAACCAGGCGCCAGTGTCCGAGCAGCTCGCGGTTGAGGTCGGCTACCATCCAATCCTCTGGACTCCTTAATCATGCTCGCTGCACAGCGTAGCGACTGCGCAGGTGGCCGTTGTAGCCCCTGTGAGGAAGGGTAGCAAACTGCGGTGTACTAAAGTTCCACCACGATGTGGTTGCTGACGCCACCAAGAACAGACTTCCTATTCCTGCTCTGAGGTGTCGATGCACTCCTTAAACTCTAATTCTTGTATGGCCCAGCATCAATTGCAACATGCTCAGAGCTGGCAAGAAAATCGAAACCACTCCGGCTGGAGCTGGTGCAAGAAGCGAGGCATCTGCCAGGCAGACCAATGTCGTGATGACATGTCTGTCTCTGGTACTTTGGCGAAAGACTGAATTGACAGCCCATGGCCTCCGGGCACTACAGCGTGCCAAATTCCATGTCGCTGAAGAGATTGGGAAACCGCCTTGACTGCATCCTGTCGCCAAGGGAGTCTCGATGCGAGTACGGGCACTGATGTGAGCACGGCCTTGAAGATGCCTCTACTAAACATGGCAAGCCCACTCAGAGGCCTGATAGAGAGTGCTTGGCCGTTCTGCTCGAGCACTCCGAAGCATAGAGGTGTGAAATGGAAACGGTGAGAGGTCCATCAGAGGAACGTTGAATGCAAACCTGAAACGTCGGCCCAGACTTCCAGGTTTTCTGTTTGTGCTTGCTGCCTCTTTCAAATCAAACGCCTAGACAGGACTGCGAGATCCTTTCTTCCAATGTCTCCGACAGGGCGCATCCTGTCAGGATCCTGCGCCACTCGCTTGAATGTACTGTGCATCACCTCGGCCGACATTTAGGTGTGTCGTTTCGCCACTATGGCGCCAGGATATTATACACAAGCTCAAGGCATGAGTCAGGGGACGAGCGTTTCTTGGTCGCTGCGGACTCGATAAAGTTCCGAATCAGTGCGAGGTGCGGCGGCAGAGCCGCGACCGTTCCTGAGACGTCGTTGCCATTGAGCCATGGTGCTCAAGACGGTTGTGCCGTTCTCTTGGTTTGCCCAAAGTTTGCTCTACTGGGGTTGCAAGTTCATGTGCTTGCCTGACATCGCAACTTGTCAAGGATTAGTGTGTTCGACATTTCCTGTCCAAAGGGACTAGAAGAGTCATGTTTCTCATGTTGCGCCGTGGCACACAGGAACGCCAATGAGTAGACACAGCAAGAGACAAAATCCGTTTCATTTGTAATTAATCTTTCCGTCGGGGTGACTGCTCTAAGTTCATGAGTGAAGCTACGACTAGCTACAGTATCCTGCTGGCACCATGGCCTCTTGACCCCCTGCCGTAGTTGTCGCGAGATAACTGCCCACCCCATGTTGAGATCCTCAATTTTGAGACGCGGTGTGTGTGTGTGTGTGTGTGTGTGTTTTGTTTTCCTTTTCCGTCGTTTGGGCTGGGCTGATTCCCAACTCCAAGAGATGCTTTCAGACATCACCTTCCTCCGCATCCGAAGCAGTATATTTTCATGTGCACATAGCTTGGGCTAGCGTACCTACTAACTGGACCCAAGATGCCCCCTTCAATTTCGGAAGAGAGTCAAAGCCAGCAATGCTGCCAGCACCGCGTGCCCACAGCGGGGCCGCTTGGCTTTTCGCTTCAGCCCATCTGCTGCCTCTGGGCGTGCAGGCGCGGGGCTGAGATGTGGAATCATGGAAGCCGGCAGCGTAGGTTTTACTTCGGGCTTAGGAGTGCCCGGCCACGGCTTTTGCTTTGGGGTCTGTATCAAGGGAGACAGCTACAGAGAGTTTAGTTACTTGCAAGCACGTTTAACCATTCTGTTCGTTGGTCTTCGACACGGTCCGGTGGTGGCCTGCACCACTCGAGACAAGTGCTGCAGTAAGTCTTCACTGTACCTTACATGGGAGCTGTCACCAGGCTGCACGAACAGCAGTGCAACATTCAATTTCAGTCTTTTGGTTATCTTTCTGTTCTTCAACCCACTTCTGGCCACGGAGCGTGCATGGCAAGTTGGTCTCGCAATGGGCGCAAAGCGCCTCCGCACCGCTCTGCAACCAGCGAACAGATTCTTGCCATTCGTTCATCTGTCTTCTACTTTGCTGCGTACACGGCCTGAAGAAGCGGTGCTTCTGACTCACACTCGATCGATGCCAGTGCGAGCCTCAGATCTGACACAGTATAAGAATCCAGGAAAGCATGGCATGAACCGTTCCAAGTGGCTCATTACAACGGAGAGAGGGCGCTAATTCCTTGAGCTGCGACAGGTCTTGCGCCTCCAAAAAGTCAGTCTGGGAGAAACAGTTCGCGTTGAGTTCCGCTCACCTACTGCCAAAAGGTGGGCCTGTTGCAAAAACTTGAGAGGTCCAGGAAACGTCCTTAGCTCTCAGTGGCTCTCAGATGCTTAGCTTGCAGAAGCACATACGACTGCGTGTAACTTCTCAGTACTACCCAGCTACACGTACTGGTCGATGTGTGCCAGGATGCCAAAGTGGCCACGGTGGTGAAAGCGGCACATGTGCAGGAAGCGATGTGGACCTCACGGGGGACCGCAGCACGCTAAGGTAGCGAGTAGCCACGCCATCTTGTGCGAATAGCTGGGAACACTGGCCAGTGGTCCAAAACCGCCTTTCCTTTCAGGGTGCAGTAAGCGAGTTTGGCCACCATTGCCCAAGGCATTCTCAGAAACGCTGTGCAGGAATTGAACAGAAAAAACAGCATGGCCTTTCTGAAGATTCCATGCAAGAATCAAAAAGTGGGATGATCCATCCGGCTTGAACCGAATGACTTGGTCTTCAAACTCAGATGCTCCTGTCAGGCAAGTGCTTGATGTCTTTTTTTCTCTGTCCGAACTTGGTCCCCACTGTCTGTCCTGCACCATAGAGAGCCAAGATTGTCACAGCAAAGCCTTCGGGGCAAGCTCTGGCATTCTCTGCGTCGAAATGTGCCAAAGCCTGCAGGGCTGTATGCCATGGCCCTACCTCTCGTCGAAGCGATCCAAGACATCCCATGACTCTTGACGCTTCATGATCACCCCTCGCCTGGAGGATGGCCTGTCGTGCCAGTGAACGCGGCAGCTCGCTGCAAAGCAAACCCAAATACCTTAGCTTTTCTAGGCCATGCCCAAACCACAAGTACATGTTGGAAAGCTTCGAATGGCTGATACTGGCATGCACGACATAGCCCTGGGGTGACGGGCGAATCATGCGCACATGAGTCGTAAAACAAAACCTAAACCCTAAACCCTAAACCCTAAACCCTAAACCCTAAACCCTAAACCCTAAACCCTAAACAAGTCAGACAAACAACCAGGCACAAATCAGCAATCAGCTAAGGCGATTCTGTGGCATAGGTTGGGCCAGGTTATGTTAGATTAGGTTCGGCTAGACTTAGGTTTAGGGCATGTTGAAGTTTAGGATTAAGGTTGGAAGCAATTAGGTCTGGTCAGGTTAGGACAGGTTGAGCTTCGGTTCAGTTTCGAATCTGCTACTTTAGGTTCATGGTATGTTGGGGAGGGCGCACCCAGCGCACCCCAAGGTTGTTTCAAATGGGCCGGGGGAGGGGGGCTTCGAGATGGGCCTGCCAAGGCACACCCGTTTTGGGCCTGCTGCCCCGTATTGGAGCCGGGCAAGTGTTGCTTGGCTTGAGGTGTAGCTTCCCATTTTTCAAACGTTCGAGTTCGGACATTGTTCAAGCTCCACACTCTGATGTATCTCACATGTGTGCGCTTCGTATATCTCGGCATTTTCAAGCTCTCGAACACCGTTCCGGTTGAACCTTCCAACTCAAAGCTGCTCAATCTTTCGAGCTTGGGGCTGCGGGGTTTTATTGTTTTAACTTTTTAACTTGTAATCTTTCAAGCTCACCGTCCTTTTGTCGTTTCCAACTTTCAAAAGTCGAAGTCGAAAAGCATTCTCACGGCCTCTATCAAAACCTAAGCTAGCAAGCGTGGGACCAGCAAGCGTGAGCCCCACAATGGGACCGTCTTTATTGCTTTCCCCCCTGAACGGTCAAAACTGGCTTTGTCCCTCTTTACTTGGTCGGCTTTTATGAAATGATTTTGAAAAGGAATGAGTTTATACTGAGTCTATATGACTGAGAGGCCCAGCAATTGGCTTGAAAGGCGCACCACACTTGCGACACCCGGAAGACTTGACTTAATAGGGGATCCCACCGGGCACGCCCAAACGGTCACACGGTCCCTAAAAAATAGGGCCCAAGAGTTTGAGTTCGAAAAACCGATCAGGCCAGGAGTTTGAGAACTGGAATATCCACGAGTTTGTAGGTTTGAAACCTCGGAGGTTGAAGTTTGACGACAGACATTTTCGAAAGTTCGATACCTCGAATGAGTTTCAGACATGGAAAAGCTTGAGGCAGAGCGAGTTCGAAAGTTGGACAGCGAGTTTGAAGCTATCACCAGCCAGCTGGTACTGAAATACCAGAGATCCTTGAGCCCCCCCCCGAAGCCCCCAACACTAAGCCCCCCCCCCCCCCGGGAGCCATCCCGTTATGACCCCCACCGTCAAGGCCTAAGGTGGAGGGCTTCCTTACTCTACAAAGAGTTGGTTGTCGAGTTGGCAACAAACGGGCGGGATTCAACGCGCTTCCCACAGAAAGTTGCTTCCCACCTCGCTCGCACGCACAGAGTGAGCACCGAAAAAATCAACAGACATAGGATTACAAATGCCTCTTGCAGGGGCTTTGCAGTCTAGGACGCAGAGAGTTGCTTACGGAATGATAAGGACAAGATGTGAACGGGGGTGGGACTCGCCACGTTCTCAAAGAGAGACGGGTATCGAACAATGATGACAAAAGACAAAGGGGGTGGGGATTCACCATTTTTTCCGGAAAGAGTTGGTGTTTGACATGGACGGAACGATTTGGTGCGATAGCGAGATATATAGCGAGTATGTTTCGTCCAAGCGTGTGATGTGTATCAGAAATGAACTTTTGACACTTGAAGATAAACTGTTGACACTTTGAAGACGAAACAAAGCCTCTTCCTGTTTTGTGAATCATGGACACCTTACTTTTTCGGCAAACGTTTTGCGAATCGGTCTTCACTCGCCCTGAACGAACATAGCATTTGGAAGGGCAAGGGGCGTCCTCCAGTCGAAGCCGCGCAGGCGCCCTGTGCTGCAACCGGCAGGGAGCCCACCCCCTTGGCACTCGCCCTGGGCAGGGAGCTTTTCCAGGAGCTCTGGCGTCCTCCATAGGCTCTGCTGAGACTCGGCCGTCTGCAGGATGAGCAGCCAAGCGACCAGGATTTTATGGGCGAGCATGGCACAGCATGGTCAGCATCCAGCGACTGAGGTGAGACAGCCGGCTTGAGAGAGATGCACACAGTAACTGGCCTGCAGCATATCCACTTGATCATTGCTTGCCTTGCCCCGCTACTTCGACGTTGTACTTTGGACGTGTGCAAACAAACCTATGTGATGTCTAAATTCCGAGATGAGCACCTCGTGATGACGGCTGCTGGCATCAACTAGCTGTTAACATCACGTAGCCTGTTGAGGCGGAGTCAGAGAGTCCAAAGATCCGAGATAGGGGGGGGGCACGTGCACAGAAACGCCAGCTGCGCGATGTAAAGCCAGGCAAGGCCATGGCGCCAGACCAGGCGCCCCACCGCCACCTAAGGCCATGCTTTTAAGTTTTGCAAACATGTTCTCCAAACATGTTCCTCAAACATTTCGTCTCACTTTCCGTCATTGAGGCAATTGTGGCAATCCTCTCGGGCCCACACTCGCTCCACGACAGCTGCTGCCAAAGTCACAGCATGGGCCTTGGCAATACATGCGGTGACAGGACATGCACACAAAGACAAAGTAAAAGCTCGTGCGTTCAGCCACGGCACAGTCACAGTCTGAGAGCAACTTGTCGGTTTGGTTAGATGTTGTACATTCGTTCAAGCTTGGCTCCACGCACTCCATAGGATCACAACCGGAGTGTTTGACCTGCGCGCGGCTTCGGCAAATGATGTCCCGCTACCCTCTACTGCCACACACAGCGACGCGCAAATGGTCCATCTTTTTCTGTCAGCCCACGTCACCCGCTGATCCCCGGGCGGGCTCAACTGCGAAGTCGCGGGACCGCATGGTGATACCGTGTGATACCTCACCCTGTCTCACCTTCGGACATCCCGGTGGCCCGCGCTCATGGCGTCGCGGCCAATCTGAAATCCGGCCGTGCCGTCTGGCTGCGCTGAAGGGTTGAACCTGGACTGCTCGAATGCCTGCCACCATCATCATTCCGCACCGTGACTTCGTGAAAAAATGCGAGACACTTACAATAGGCCAATAGGCTGCATGTGCGAACGGCAGTATGAGCGAAGTGATGAAGCCAATCCAACCACAATCCAAAGATGTCCGCCCAAGATTCTTAGATTCTTAGATTATGTTGTGTTCGGTGCAGTCGGCCTCCCACAGACCCGCCGTGACCAAGAATGCTTGCAAGGCTCCGATGGCCTGTGGCTTTCAAGTTCTTGCAATGCTTTTTGCAGGTAAGTCGGGCCAATCTAAGTCTTCAGTCTTTTAATAACATCCCCCCCGGCCTGCGCGGCCGCTGGAGGATCACAGCTGACCTTTGTTGACCCATGCACTCGGGGAGTCCACTGGCCCATCCACTTGCTCTGCCAATTTCTGCTGATGCCCAGGTGCGTGATGCAACGACTGGCCCTTCCTCACCGAAGCAACGAAAGCAGCAACGAAAAGCACGTGAGTGGTGTCGACCTCACGCGACCTCTGCAACCTAGGGGCTTCGGACCGAACAGAATCACGCCCGAGGGCCCTTCCAGCGAGGGCCCTCCCAGTTGGGCATCAGCTCCTGGAGAGGACTTCGTGAAGCAGCTGAAGCAGCTGAAGCCGAGTTCTGCTTAAGTGGTCTTGCCCAGCGGCTTGCACTCTGGCGCATGTTGGCCATGTGTGCACCACCAGCCAGCGCATGGGAAACGTCTGCAGAAGCCATGCGTCCTAAGAAGGACAGCAGCCTACAGGGCGTACAGCACCCAGTACGTGCTCGACATGTTCCACTTTTCTCATTTCTGTCTGCTGTAGGACGGTACCGGGTTGACTCATTGAACTCAGTGACCCAGGACATCCCAGGACTCTCTTGCAAGCGAGCATCTTGCACGCTTGGCCTCTGGCTCTGGCCTCGCTCCTCAAGTCTCGCTCACTCTCGCTCACCCTCGCTCACCCTCGCTCACCCTCGCTCACTCGCTCAATGGCTACAGGGTAGTCCGGGTCGTGCCTGCCGCACGTTGGGACCAACGCTTGGAATCCTTGCTCACTCGACCTCTTCGGAATCCGGACGGACAAGCTGATGTGTTTGACTGGGGAGGAAGAGGCTAGTAGCGGTTGTACGCAATGCGTGCTTTGTAGAACAGGACCCACACCAAAGTGTCATGGACTATGTTTTTTTCAAAGAGCTTCTGCGTGCACTGCTTCGTGCCTGTGGCCCCTTCGTTCGCCAGCTTGTCGGCCAGTTCCTAAGCTCTTGAAACTCCATCAAATGCTTCAGAACGAAAAAACTTTTCGCAAGTTGCCACAGTCCTCTACTCTAGGCTCCCTATGCTATTAACTACACAACTCAATTGACGGCACTATGACGCAAGCGGCATTGCCCACGTCGCCAGCATGGCCCTTGACCCAGTTCAGCTGCAGCCTTCTTCTGGTAGACATGTCCTGGAGAGCCAGACGACATGAGCATGCTAGTTTTGGGGCATTTTCAAACCCACTCTATGGTTTAAAACATCCCCAAACCACCGCCCACAGTGATCTTTGAAACGCTCCTGCCAGAGCCCTTGAACCGATGCCACGAGGTCCAGATTCGCGTGCGCGCGGTTTTCGCCGGTCATCGCCTCACAGAAACAGTGACCAGTTGGTCACGCTACTTCGAGGTTGCACCACTAAGAAAGGAAAATGCCGTCATGCGCCGACTTCCAATTCGCTTCCTATACTTCTTGGTGGGGCCCGGTGACTCTAGTGACGCGACTTGGTGAAACCCAGCAACGTCCGAGGCCTTTTTCGCATACTGTGAGTCGTAGCAGAGCACCGCGGGCCTTGCCACTGCAATCCACCCTTGCCGTCAGTCCCTCAAGCACTACTAGACACCGACATTATGACTAGTTCCAGGAGCGCCAGTGTCGGCACGATGAAAGCATGAAGCCGAGCAGCCCTAGACACACTCCCGAACCCAGTGCACCTGTCTTTGGGTCCTGGCGCTTCGTCGCGAAGCCACAAAAGGGCCTTTGAGATGACGGCATCAAGCTGGAATGCTGGAGGAGCGCGTTTGACATGTTCCTCGTCCCACGTCCCTCAACAACCCCTAACGGTCCCTGAACGTCACATAAGATCACAACACACCCACTCTTGGTCAGCAAGGCCTCGCCGAAGGCAGTCAGCTCTGCCGTGTTGTTGGAGCACACCTTGCAATGTGACGTACAACAAAGCCGGACCGTGGCATCGACATGAGAGACATCCAAAGTCACAGGCCTCCGCACCAAGGCTGAAAGGTGAGCTGCGGTTGACCTCCCAAAAACAGTCTTGTCAGGACTCTGCCAAATTGTATGTCTACATATGTCTGTGTTCCCTTTTCTGCCGATGTTTCTCTGCCATCGCAGTGTACCTCCACGGGTCCAAAGAGGCGGGCTGCCTCCCTCTTGCCATGGCCTGGCCTTAGACGCATGTGGATGGTCTTGGCCATAGCAGCATCTTACGTTCCGCTTGCCGAAAGACATCTTTGAGAGCGCGGCGAAGAAGAGTAAACTGCAACGCCCCACCCAGCAGAATGCGCCACATCGTGGACATTTTCTGAACACAAGTGAGCTATGCAAGGAATGCTGATGGCAAGACAGAGACATATGGCTGCTGTGGCAATGTGCTCTCTGCCAGGCATGACCAAGCGGCGGTTCGTTGGACAAGCTCCGTCCAAGTAGAGGTACCAAGACTCACCTGCAGGAGTTAACTGCAGGAGTAACGCCGAACTTGGCCAAAGTCGTCGCACATTGCGATACCGATAAGGTGAGGTCACTTGATGCCACTTTGATCCCGAATCTGCAGCCTTCCAGGACCGGTGGGTCAACCAGCGCAGCTGCTCTGGGCCCCTGTGCAACAGGTTGAGTGATGTTGAGTGGCATGACTCGATGACTCGATGACATCAGCTGTGAGTCCACTCACAATGACCGAGCCTGCGGCACGGTATTTGCCTGGTGCCGGATGGCCTGCAACCACTTGTGACCAGCTTTATCATGCGCAAGTAAGTCTGGTGATGTCTGGGGTATTGCATGCAGAATTTCAAGCCGACGCAATTCACAGCTTGGGGCTCTTCCGGCTGCGTAGCCGCGAGGATCGCTCACTGCGAAGTCTTTTCACAGGCTACCGATGACTTACGATGACTCGCCCCGAACCTGCAGCGCGGCATGGGCTCTAGAGTCTCCAGGTTGCGAGGCAGCCTGCATGCACATGTTCGAAACCAACGTGTCGAAGATCAAAAAGGCGTTTTGTCGAGTTACGGGGGGAGGGCTTGGTTGTAGAGTCTGCTTTGGACTTCCATGGCTCAGCATGCTCTTTGGGAGGCTTCGCATTTAGTGGGTACCCCCGACACTCAACTCGGCCAATATGTGCTGAGCCAGTTGCCTGACATATTATGAGCTTCTTGCTGCTTTTTGCTGGCAAAATGCCCTCCAAGATGTGATGCTAGCATAGGAAGTTTCACTGAAACGAAGCTGCAGTAGCTGTTAGCTTCTCCAGCCTCAGCAGGCATTCTGGCAACAAGCTTCCGGCTGCACAATTGAAGAGTTCTCATTTCCTAACACAACATGTATGACTCGCCTCGATGGCATGCTTCAACTTCGCTTCCAGCACTGCCGCATCGGCACCCTGGCGAAACATCTGCAACTCCACGCACGACTACAGAAGATGCTGCAAGATAACACCGGTTTTTCTTCGCAGCGTCTGCTGCTCGGCCTGTACAAAGACGGTGCCCTTTGTGGCATAATGACTCACCTAGCCGACATGCATGAGCATACAATGGCATGCGACCACGGAAGGGCAGGCTACTTCAGACATGTGCAATCATGAAAACATATGAAAAAATGACTGAAAGCAGCAGATTGCAGTCAGGAAACGGAAGCTCTCCAGCCTGAGCACATCGCTCCAATCATGGTGGGGTATCTTTGAGAACTCTTGTCTGATGCACCTGCAGTACACGCCTCCAAAAACATTCCAAGACAATCAATCGGCAAGAATTGCCAGGCTGCTAGATGCGAGGTGCAACGACTACACTGGTGCAATCCACAAGCTGTTTTAAGTGAAGAAACATGTGAAAAGACATGGCCAAACTCCCTGAATGCCTAGCCATGCCCAGCCTGTGCACTGATGCTGTTGCTGCGTGTTAGGCAGCTGCTTCCACGTGGGCCTTTCGCCCAAGAGTCGCAGTGCATCCTCCAGGCACTCCAGTCCTCAAAGCAAGCGCGAAGCGCGCAGACCAAAAGACTCCAAGCAAAACAACGGTGCCCTTCCACTCTGCCAAGTTTCGGCACGTCTGGCGTTCAGACTTTCCCATGAGACTCACAAGTGTCTGTACAGCATCTGGCAGGAGTCGCACCCGGCATGATGCCATTAAGACAAAAAGCTGCAGTGACTGAAGCAAGTACTCTCCCCAGCTCCCGTCAACAAATAGCCCATGGAACTGGATTCTTCACTCTAGTCTCTTTGGCGCGGCGCTACCAGTACTGCAGGTTGTGTGAACGACTTCCTAACTTCGGATCTTGCGGACTCGCGAAGCAGCATGAAGCAGTTCCTTTTTTCTCGTGTGATCATTCTGTTCCCGTACCCAAGGCAGCCAGCTCTGACTGCGAGAGACCTCGTGTGAGGATGCGCCGGATGCAGTTTATTGCTCAGCAAGTTTCGCTGCCCTCCCCAACCCAAACATTCTCTGAACGATGGAAACCACCCACCCTGGCCTGACATTGCTGCATCCGCAAATTTGGCAATCTCCTGGTCACAGCAATCAGGATATGGAGACCTAAACGGTTCACTCAGTGCTGCATGAGCAAAATCATGTGTCACATTGCGCAGGATACTGAATAGTCCAGAACCAGTATGTGGGCAACTCCTCCATCCCTCATCCACCAGCATAGACAAGAACTCTCATCACAGATGCGAAGCCCATCCTTGCCTTCGCCAACTTCTTGTTGCTTCTGACCTGCTTTGAAAGATCCGTACGAACACACCTCTTACAGTAGGATGGCCTGGAGGCCAGAGAATGTTTGTGTGTCGAACGGTGTGCCACAGCGCGCCTTCTCTTTCTGCACGGCCTCAAGTTCACGTTCTGCCTGGAGTCAGGAGGAGCAGTGGGGTGGCACACGATCAAATACTAACCGATGTCTTGTTCCTAGCCCAAGCTTGAGCAGACCTTCTCACTCGCTCTCACTCAACAAAGACATGCGGCTACTGCTTCTGTGGAATGGAAACATGTTAAGTTGTGCCCCATCCAATATCACCTTCAAACCTGTTTAGTCGGCCTGGCGCAGGAGTGCTGCTGTTGCCTCGCCAGGCCTGCCGGGCTAAATGCGGCGCTTGCGCTCGTCTTCAGGTTAGCGTCAGGCCCTGGATTGTTCGTTCAGGTTGTTCGTTGCTTGCTTTTGTATGCCGGCCAATGTCGGCCACCTTTGCGGAGCGAAGCCTTCACTTCACATTGACATGGCCGTGTCTTTGCTGCCTCAGGGCCGCCGCAGCTGCCAGGTCGTTCCTTGCAGGCTCGATTCGCTGCCTTCCAGGAGAGCTGGCGATGGCTTGGACATGGCTGGAAACTTGGCTGGAACATGGAACTACGAGTACGGCCGCATGCTGAGGCACTTCAGCGCTTTATGGGCCGGTCTGGCCTTGACAAGCGCGTCTTGGCACGCAGGTAGTAGGCCTCGCGGGATCCATCAGGCACTAGGCACTGCATGGCACTGCTCACCCCTCTTCTGCGAAGTCGGCTCATGCCTTGACAAGTTGCTCCTTGCACTCCTCGTCCTTCGCAACTCGCGGAGAACCCGCTGCAGAATGCGTTGCCCACAGCGATATCACGATGGACAGGTCCTGGCAGGGGAATGACAGATGCTCAAGCGAACGCAACTGCTCCATGGATTTACTTTGCTGGAGAACTGCTGGAGAGCTCGGCATTTGGGCAAAAGGCCTGAATGTTGCTTCGTGTGTTGCGTGTGTTGCATGTGTATGTCCGTGTGCTGGTTGTGTGCGTGTGTATGTGTTGGTAGTGCGCGCGCGTGTGTTGGTAGTGCGTTCGTGCGTGCCGGCGGGCGGGCAGGCATGCGGCGTGGGTGTGTGGGTGTGCGGGTGTGCGGGCGTGCGGGCGTGCGGGGGTGCGGGGGTGCGGGGGTGCGGGGGTGCGGGGGTGCGGGGGTGCGGGGGTGCTGGGGTGCGGGGGTGCGGGGGTGCGGGGGTGCGGGGGTGCGGGGGTGCGGGGGTGCAGGGGTGCGGGTTTGCGTGTGTGCGTGTGTGCGTGTGAGATAAAGGGTACTTGCCATAGATCGAGCTCTGGCCCTGACACTGTTTCGTGAACTTCGGTACCACAGAGCTGGCAAGCAGCTGATCTCCAGTTTTCTGAGAGCTGCACGTGCGTAGCCCGAGATTCTAGAGAACAGGTGTAGACAGGCCCAGATCACCAATGATCCACGGATGCTTCACTCAACCGGTAGATACTTGACTACTCCCTGGTCCTGTGCAGCTTCAGCTTGGTGCCCAAGCTGCGTGAGTGCCCGTGAGCGATTCAGATGCAAGCTGCCCTGGGCGAGGCTAGGAGCTCCGTCAGATGCTGAACAGCGAAAAAACGCAAGCACCCGTCTCTGCCCAAGGCTCCTGAAGCATCAGCTGCTCCAAACGCACACCAAGAACTGCAGATCCGGGAATTCCCTCAATGACCTGGGTCGTTCGCAGAACATATTGGGTTGGCCTAGTGACTAATTCGCACTGTTCAGCTTGCGAAGAAACACTGTGGCATGCGCTTCGCCGGTACCACAAAGCTTCAGATCTAGGCGATCAGCAGCGCCTGCGGTCAAACAAGTCGGATATCGAATGGCACCCTCTTGACTCTGGCCTCGGCAAACTACACGCGCAGGCTGCAAAGAGCCGTGTCCTCAGCGGTTGTGGTCAGACCATCGATGCAGACAGCGCGTTTCAGCCGAGCTTCGATTTGCCAATACCCACTCCACGTTGTCCTTGCCAAGGTTCGCGGATTGAAACAGAATGTCACGACCCGCATATTCAGGACATGGAGTGCTGACTTGCTCGATTTTGGCCACTACCTGCAACCATCTGTGTGCTTTCCATGTAGACCGGATAAGGAGCATGTATATACACTCTATCAACCCCAGCACATGAGCAAGATCCTGAGCCGAGCCCGCACAGCTCTCAAGCAACTTCAGGCCCCGGGTGTAGAACTCTGCCGCAGCCTCGCAGAGTATCAGGGAAAGTCAGGAGGCGCAAGGCAAGGCCTCCAAGGCCCACAAGCATTCTCAAGTGATTGGCCTCCATGTCGCCCAGCTTGAACAACAGATTTCCAACGTCCTGCCGGCATTTGTTGGCCAATGCAAACATGAATTTAAGATCATTTTCGGCCCGCCCGTGTCAGGCCATAGGCTGGCCCAGCCTTCGCACCCTGAGCACCCAGAGTTTCGAAGGCATCATCGAAGCACAGCTCCTCATCTTCAAGGGGCCTCAAGAACCCACCGACCCAAACCACACAAGCGGCCGTTTGTTGGAGAGCTTTGGCCTCAAGCTGTCAGCGCTCACTGTCGCTTCTCCTGGATTGCTCAGGGCCTTGCACAGACAGTCGAGGCTTCTGACATCCTCTAACTCAAGGCAATAAGCACTTCGAGCGACGAAGCAAGATGCAATCATGTGCCTCTGCGCTCTTCACAGGGGTCCCAAGAAAGGCGACATCTACCTGAGAGCAGCATAGCACAGACATTCATTTGCTCACAGGCCTGCCAAGAAAAACTCAGTGCGGCTAGACTCCAAAAATCTGGAGGGATGAAGGGCCTCCAGCAACATCCTCAAGTTCGTTTGGTTGGCCGAAGAGAGGCCCAACGCCAAAATGTGCACGGAATTGTGCTGGGAACGCGATGGCACACGGTTTGGACCACGGATTGCACACGGGGCCGAGCTGGGCTGAGGCGGCCGAGGTGAGAGCGGGATTTGGCACATTCGACGGCGCAAAATAATTGTGGGTGCTGCAATGCTATGCCGGGACCTAGGCCAGAGCGCCCAACATGTGTGTCGGGCCTTGGCCCTAGACAGAGAAAAACCCTAGTGGCACAGTGTGTCCGAGTGCGCGCGCACGCACTCGCGCGCGTGCATGTGCGAGGTGTGACAGTGACAGTACCATACAACGCATTCATTTGTGCTTCCCAGAACTCTCCAGATCCCGCCCTCGAATTGAGTTGAAAGTTTCTCTCGACACTCCGAACTTTGCCAAGGCAGCCGGTCTGCGGTACAGGAGAGTCTTACTTCAAACGGAACTTTTGGCATATGCACCGGGGAGGATGTCAAAGCGAGTTGCTGACATGGTCAGCCATCGGCTAAACAATGACTCGCATGGTCTGGTGCCGGGCATAGGGGCCTGGCTGTTGCTTCACTCTCATTGACATACTCCACCATGGCACGCCGAATCTGGCCAGACGGCAGGTGAACCTCGGGCCATGGCGCGAGCTTCATTGGCCAGCAATGGCCAGTATGTGCAGATACTGCAAGAGGCTTGGAGCCCTGGCCCGCACGATCTTTCCGATGGAGCACAGGGGTGTCTCGTGATAGGTTGGCCTTCATGCAGTCTGAGCTTTGCAAAGCTCTGCCAGATTCATATCTGGCCCATCTGGCCTCAGGGGTCGAACGCCTCGCTGGCGCTGGGCCTCCATCGCATCCTCACCACAAGCGTTGTCTGGCATCCCTCGAACATCGTATTGGTTTAATTGTTTACATGTTGGAGGGGCAACTTGAACAGTGACTGGCTAAGGTAGAAGCTTAGCCAAATCGAATGCATGGCCTGCACATACCCAATTATTCCCGAATCAGCCAAAATTCTTGGAAACAAACGAGAAGTCGCCTGCATCAGAGCAGTCAGCCACCACGGGCGACGAAGGCGAGAGTGGCCAGCATGGCAAGTGAAAGTGACTTGACTGCAACTGGTGATGAATCGTCAGATGCAGGGCCATATTCTGCGCTAACCGCAAGTAGGCTAGTAGCAGACGACCATAGACGACCACTCTGATCAGGTGCTGCATGCTGTATCATGCTGTGCCGATTCTGGGGTTGTGCGTCTGCATGTTGCGAGCTTGACTTCGTGTCAGGCCTGATTGTCAGTGAAAGGATCATCGACCGGCCTTTTACCGTGACCCTCTTTACTCTCAGACGCTTTCAGGGTTGAAAACTTGGGACCGTGTAGTGCAAGCACGAGCCCTGAAAGACATTGCAAGACATTGCAAGACATTGCAAGACATTGCAAGACCGGGGAGAGCGCACGGTGAGAGAATCGCGAAGAGCAACGAGGACAAGGCCACAAGGCCATGTGGGAGGGGCTGCAGTGGATGGACCTGAAACGATCGCCGCGATGCAAGTCTGCTTGAGATTGCTCGAGAGGGCCACAGATGAGACAGCTCGCTAGGCGAAGACTGTGCAGTCCATTGCTGTCCTTTCTCTGAGACCAAGGCCAGCTCAAGCACCTCACGCTGCGTGCAAGGCTTCTCTGATCAAAGGGGCAGCGCGCAAGGCCAAAAGCCAAGAGACTCCTGGGCTCCTGGCAAGCTGAGGCGCCATGATGATCGAGCCGAGCCGCCGAAGAAGAAACAACGGCAAAAGTGTACACCTCGTGCACGCCCGGAATTGCCACCCTTCTGCTCTCAGCAGTACCAGCGCTTGTCGCACTTTGGGCTCCGGCCACAACAAGTTTCGAATCAAGCCAAACAGACATGACCATGACCTTGGGCAACTTTAGCAAGACAACTTTAGCAAGGAAAGAACCTTCGTGTGACATGCTTGCCAACGGAGTATGGCACAATATCACATAGAGACGTGAACGCACTAGCGGTCTCAGCACACCGTCCACGTGCAGTGCTGAGATGGCTACAAGGCACCAGAAGATATCTTCAGTACCTGCAATAAAGGTTCCGAGCTAACCCGAGCTAGGTGCATGCGCGCGGCTGCAGATACGTCACCACAGTCACATTGGCATACATACAAGAAACTGGCAGCGTCCGTTGCAGGATGAAGATGGATGAAGCACTTGATGATATGTAAGCTCGTCTTGCGAAACATGAAACGCAATCTGTCAACATCCATTCAACAAGTCCTGTTCTCCAGCAAAGGCGCACCAGGCAGAGTCCGATCAGCCCAAAGGGCAGAAATGCCACAAGGGGCAGCTCTCCCCGCAAGTACCTGTGCTCAAAGAACTGGCCACGTTAAGACGCACGGGGGGTGATTGAGATGCGCCATGGCCATCGATGGCCGCTATGACCAGCAAAGAGGATGTTCTTACAACAGCAGTGCAAGAAAACGAGGGCGCACCAGACCGCCAAGACGCAGGTGGTGGTCAACGCCTACATGGGTGACAGACGGTCCAGGCAGCAACGCTGCCAAATCTGGAGACTCGGCGCATCCCCTGCTCAGCAACTCGATTCTACGCCGCCGGCCTCTGCGGCGTGTCGAGCCAAGCGCTGCGGGTCGGACCTGGAAGTTGGGTGGCTGGCGCCACAACTAAAGGAACAATAACTGTCGACTCGATTTTTTTCCGGTCTGCCACTTTCGATGGGGCCGGTGATGAACTGCCAAAGACAGCAACCGAATGAAAACCTAACCTAACCGCAACTACAGCAAGAACTATCCTGTGTCGCACAAATCGGTGGGTGGCACTGAAACACCAAGTCGCGGACGTAAAGAATCGTCGGGCGCGCAACGAACGTGGTGGAGGTCTGTGCAGTGGCAATGACGCCTCGAGAAAACAACCTTCAGCACCTATTACCTACAGGATGGCCCTCAACCGCGAAAGGGGTTGCTTTCTCTTCCATTACTTCGCACAAGCCATCTGGAATGGAAGCCGCAGACTTCCAAAGCAGTCTTTCCAGGGCTCTTACTGCCAGAACCGCAAACTTGTGCACACTTACCTTGGCAAGCACGGATGGCATGTGCTATGACGCGTGCAACCTCGTCATTGGAAGGAGTGGAACAATACATAGCGATGACAACACCTATAACCAAGCTCTGCGCGTCTGCTAAAATCTAACCCTGAAACTGACATGCCGAGCTACGCAGCCGAAAAGGAGGACGAAAGTGACGCGGGCAACAAGGGGCAAAGATGCCTGCCATCAGAGTCATCAGAGCTGTGTGCACATGTGTCACGAAATACAAAATACAAAGAAAGTAGCACGCAGCCTTGGTTTATCAGGGGCACAATGGCTCCTGTCTATAGTCTGTAAGAGTCCAGCAGACACGCCTCCTTTCCCTGCAGGCAGTCTTGGAAGCCCATGAGCATCATCACCAGGACGGCACTGCAGGCAAACAGCGAAACACTCCACTGTCATCGACTGAGAGTGGACACGGACCAGACTCTCTACCAGCAATAGAACTTTCTGAGGTGAGGGAATGCTGTACAAGTTTGGTCTCAAGCACGGAGCTGAATGTTGTCTTGAAACGACATGGCGCAGATCGGACCTCCTCACCAGTTGCCCGGCAAAATCCTGCATGTAGTGAAACCTGCACCAGATCTCCACAAGATCACAAACACCCCCCTAGCCTCCAAGCACTGCACGTCAAGAACCAGGGCTCCGGGCGCAAAGCTGCCGATTCCCGGCTGTTCCTCACGGCCAAGATACCTTCTGCCAGAAAGAGCTGTGGTGGAAGGCTTTTCAAGTTTCACTGCATGAACCACAGCTGACGCTACAACTATCCAAAAGAATGCTTCTGCCGATCGGCAAGATATGACTGGGACACCCCTGCCGCGACCAAAGCCCCCGCGTTTCTGATGCCGAAGGGTATGAGCTTGCATTCAGAAAGGTTACTGAAACAATTTTACAAATGGTGCACTGCACTGCAGCAGGCCAAACGATTGCTTCTAGTTTCCGGTTGCTCATCTCATGACGCGAGCCTGCCGTGTTCGAAGAGTTTGTTGCACTCACTCGATTTGAGACTGTCACAGTTAGTTGTTCTGCTTAGTTCCATCGACGTTTCTTTGTACCGTGAGCTTTCAGGTTTGACCGACAACTCTCTCGCGAAGGTGGTTTACAAATGTCTAGAAAGCCCCATTCGCACGTCAGGTGAGTGGACTGTACGTTGTGATGCTACCTACGATGATAAAATGCACCGCGCCCCACATCCAAATCCACTGGCTGCTTGATTCGGCTGCGCCACGGCTCTCGGCAGACTCCGCAGCGTGGCCTTCCTGCACCTGTCAAGAGGCCCGCGAGATCCCGCGAGGCGTGACTTGAATCCTTAAGAGCTCGTTTGATACTCTCAGTAGCGGGATGTGGCGTGGAGCGGTGCGGCCATGAAGTCTCACACAGATTCCCCGCGCCGGATGGAACAGATGGTACAACGAATCAACCTTAGCCTGGCGTGCCTGTAAGACTCTGTTCAGACATCATTGCACCGAGATGGCTGAAGAGCACACATTGCCGCGCTGATCCGCACTGACTACGGTGCATCATTGCGTACAGAATCACACAGCGTCACCATCGCCTCCGGCCCGGCGCAAGTGCCTCATCCACCTGGCATAGGCGTTGCTGTCATGTCCTATCCTCGACTCTTCGGTGCAGCGCAACAGCAAAAGCAAATGCTTCCAAGCGAGCAAGAGGAGCTGCTCCACACACGAGGCATGAACACCGCTCATGGACCTGGCGCACGGGTTCGCATTTGTTCGCAACGGCTCGAAACTACACAAGGTCAGATCTCTCGCATAAGGAAACTGCATGGAGCATGTACCGCCGCTCGCTCATGGCTCCTCACCGTGCATTGAAGACACTGGCAGGGCTTCAAAGGCCCTGGAAGTGAACAACTTGGGTCACCCTGAGATGCGCGAAGCCTTGATTGATGATGTATCATATATCATCATTTCATATGATGTAATATCATATATTATATTATAATCTCTTATCATATAGTAGACTCAGACACTGCGACCAAAAGGTTGTTGGCTGTCACTTCTCAGGTAATGACAGGCTGCACGGCTGCAGAGACATTATCTTGAAAAAATATTCTCAGTGAGCCGCATG